GGAGGCGGCAGAATTCCGGGCTTGAAATGAGGACCAGCCAGGATTTGGAGACGGATTTGAAACGAAGGAGGGACTTTAGAGGGAGAAGTAAGAGGATCCGAGATAGGAGATGATCGATCGAGGCGATTTTGTCGGCTGATTTAGGCGAGCTCTCCATCGCCAATGGTGACTGTTTTGGATGAGTTTGGTGGTCTGTATTTTTAACTGTACTGTGTTTTTCGTTGGTTCGACAAGTCTTTGTTTCCAAATAAATAGATACTTTCGGCAATTGATGTGGTGTATTTAGAGCCGTATATGATTTATACAATAATGCTATGGAGCCAACCATTGGCTCCATAGCACTACTAATGATTTATATTGATTTATGAGTTACTGTATTTATGATTGACGCTAATTGATTGTGGTGTATTTAGAGCCATATATTATTTATATTTCAATATATTAACTAGTATAGAGTGCGATGCACGGGGTGCACAATTTTAAGGTCATTTATCCAGCCTTACAATTATATAAATGAATAAAGAAAAATATACAGGATATATATATATATATATATAGTACGTGAGCTGTGGGAGACACGAGGTATATTTATTTGGGAAATATTATATTATAAATGCAATATTCAATAAAAGTTTTACAATACGCAGGAAAATTGTACAATAAAATAGTATTCGGCAAAGAAACAATCATATATTAACATCATTTGGTGTAGAATCATTTGGGAATGAGATAACTATGTTGACCGGTCTTATCATCATGTATAAATAATTATAATTTATAATTACACTTAAAAAAGATTCCACACCAAAAAAACGCGTGAAATCTGTTTTTGTTTGGGGAGAAGACGCGTGAAATCTGTTTTAACATCATATCAGATATTTATCTCTTTATAATTTATAATTTAGATTAAAAAAGATTTCAAACACCAAAAACGTGTGACTTTTAAATGCTTGATAAAATTACAAATGCAGTAATTAAGTTTGACTCTGATCTTATGAGATTGTTTTTTACTAAACCGATTTTATGAGATAAGAACAAAAAATACGTAATAAAAATACCTGATAAACAAATTATAAAAAGATAAGAACGGATTTCCATACACTTAGTAAAAAGATGTGAAAGAATTTTGAATACACACAAATCCTTAAAAAGATTGAATATGCGTTTACAATTTTTTGATTTTTTTTACTTCACCGATTTTATGTAATTTTTTTATGTAAAGATAAGAAGAATTGTGTTTTGAGTTTATGTTATGATATAAGTCAAAAAAAAAAAAAAAAAAAACGTAAATTAAATACTTGATAAAATTATAAATGCAATAATTAAGTTTGACTCCGATTTTATGGGATTGTTGTTTACTAAATTGATTTTATGAGATAAGAAAAAAATACGTAATTAAAATACTTGATAAAATTAAAAATCATTAATTAAGATTGACTTTTCTACCTACTATATTTAATAAATAGGATACCTTTTAATATAAGTATAGATAGATTTAATTGCATTAAATAAAAAAAATTTATAGAATAGATTTACGTACATAATTTTGATTGTTTTTGCTCACCCAGTTTTATGGGATTTTGAAAATCAAGATAAGAAAGATTAAAAATAGTACGTAAATATGATACTTGATTGAAATTATAAATGCATTAATTACTACTTGATAAAATTAGAAGTTCATTAATTAAGTTTGACTTTTCTACCTATTATATTTAGTAAATAAGATCCCCTTTAATATAAATATAGATTTTTCGTTATTTGTTATTACTATCCAATTACAAAATAATTTTCTATTATGTATCCCACTATTGAAATTAATTATGCAAATTTTAAGTTAATTAACAAATGCATTCATAGGAAAATGTCAAGCATAGTGACCTTTCACGACATCATGTCAATCATAAACAATTCACTCTCACAATCACAAGTATAAAAATAAATCTGAATTGTCGAGAAAATTAAAACATCATTTTCGGAAACATGGTGTTATATTCGCACGCGCCCTTTTTTTGTTCAATTTGTTGCCTGAAGAAGAATGCTAACATCATCTTGTGAAAGTTGAATTTGATCTATGCTGCTTTTGATTGCTTTGTTCAGCTCAGTGTATGTATTTTTTTTTTTTTGTCGTTTTCTTTGTTTATTTTGTACGACGATGTTTGTATTAATATACACGTGGAGGTGGAATTGAGATTTCGATGTTATTAGGCAAATTTTGAAATTTTTTCCTATAATTTATTTGTGGTATCTTCTTGTGATGATCTCTAGTAATTTGACTAAAATATTCCATTTATAGATTCATGATCCAACTGTCACTGGGATGAATTGATTGATATGTTTAGTGAAATGTAGCAAGTTTGGACAAAATAAAATGGAATACTAAAGACGGATACGCAATGTAATCAATTGGAAAATTTGTGAACTTCAGAAATATTAAATCAAGGCAAAACTTCATAAATATTAAACCAAGGCAACCCATTAATTCAAAAAAAAAAAAAGGAGAAAACTATCATTCCATTTAAAATAGCGCGCTATAGCGTGGACAGCAATGCAACGCTGCGGCGTATAGCTGCCGCTATAGCGCAGTGATAGCGCCGCTATAGCGGCCAGATCAGCCAAACGCGAAATTCGATAGCTCGCTATTTGTTTATTTGATAAATATATCAATTGAGAAATAATTTTATTTTTCTAATGGATTTTAACAAATATTATTATTTTTTATTATTATAAAGATAAATATAATTTATTTATTTCATATATACAATATGGATGTCAAAAGATGATTAATTCGATTATTATATATGTAAAGCCGATAAGAAATACAAAAGTTATCAACTTTTAAAATACATTTACAATTCAATAGCTAATTGAAGGAAGAAAATCAAAAGTCAGAGATATATTAGTCACTTAGTGTCTCATTTAGTGTTTTAAAATGCACATCGCGTAATGCGTCGCGTTTTGGTCCTCGTAGCGCATAGCGTAAATAGCGTAGCGCATTGCGTAAGCTATTCGAGCAATTCACTTTTAATGCCAAAAATAATAATATATAACCATACAAGAGAATAAATAATTAAAACGGTCTTAAACCATAAATTAACTTGGACCTTGAATCTAAAAAATGATATTCAAATATTAATTATTCAAACAACTAAAGTCTTAATGTTTAAAGTAAACACTCGAAATCTTAAAATGATCGGTATTATCCAATTGAATTTGACTATCATCGTCAATTCTATCAAAGTTATGGAGAATTTCACTATAAAAAATAATTAATACAATTCCACCAAATTCTTGCATCTCCTCATTATTTGGAGAAAAAATGAAGTGTTCTTCCCGTTTCACTTTTGAGCTTAAGAAACATAAACATCACATTATTCTAATAGTCGAAAAGGTCAATCATAGCTATGTTGATATCAGTTTTTCAAATATTTTTTTTTTCAAGAGAAATACGAAACATGGTCTAATAATCACTCAAATTCGCCATGGGAGAAATTACTCAATTTTGTGCTCTACGTTTTTTTTTTATTTTTATTTTATTATTTTATTATTTATTTTTTGCCTATAAATAAGAATTTTCTAAATAGCGTGAGAAATAGCGCAAATAGCGTAAATAGCGCAAAATATAGCGTAAATAGCGCAAATTATAGCGTAAATTGCGAGCGCTTTTCTGGAACTGCGTGAAATTAGATACGCTATGTTGCGTTTTTAGGTAAAAATGCGCTATAGCGCGCTACGTAGAGCGTGAAATTGCGCTATTTAAAATATTGGTCTCACTATGTAAAATTACAAGGAATTAAAGGGTTATTAGTACAAGTGATATTAAAATACCTAACTTAGTTAAATAATATTTAAGGAATATCCGAACCTAGATTATTAATTATTAATATATCAATATTATTTGTCCAAACCGAATTACGAAGCATGATTCTTCGTCAAGTAGGATTCCAAAGCAACAGAACAGCCACGTAGGTTCAGCGTATTCGAGAATTATATGTATAGGGATAGTAGTATATAGTACACCATTTCTTGTGGAAAAAGAAAAATCATTAATAATGGAAAGTTGTTAGGGTAGTATTTTTAAGATTTTATACATTCCAAAGTTTTTGAATTTGTATGACAGTGTAATCTTTATGAATATTTGGGATCTTCATTTTTTCCCCTATAATTAACTTAGGACTTTAATGAACCATACTATCATTCAAAAAGTAAGAATACAGTAAAACAAAAGAAATGACGGTTCTTATGATAGTTGTAGTTCCTCTTCTTGTTTTCTTTTTGTTTGGGGCACTTTGGATATTGTTGAGTTGAGTTATTGTGAATGACTCAATTTGTGTTTATTTATTTATTTTCAATTTTCGTTGGTTTGTTGATGATTGAATAATCAAGTGTGTTTTTAGATTTAATAAATAATTTGTGCTTGTTTTTGTTTTGATGTTTTCAAATAATTGTATTTTCTTCACATATGCACACAAAAATTGATCCAACTTACGGGTATGTATCGTTTTGCTGCATTTTAGATTCGAGCTGAATAACATTGTAATTAAATTATAAATTTGTGTTTTTCTTATTATAAATATATATTATAGAAAATGTACATATTTAGAGAATCAAATTCAAAAAAATTATAGCATCGTGCACTCATGTTTTTGTGGTTGGCATTTAAATGGAGGGGACGTTAATAGGATGTAGCGCATTCATTTAACGCGGCCCCCCTCTGTCTGTCGTTCAATACTTTGAACGACATTCACTTCCTTTATTTATTTTTTTTTAAATGTCATTTTTTTAATTTATCAAAATCATTTAGTTCTCTCTTTTCTTTATAATATTACTTCAATTATTATCTAAATCACAACTTCCAATATGTATCAATAATTTACAATTTTTATATTCTCGTTCTTTTTATGGTTATAAATATACCACGATTTTTAACTCTCTTGAAAAAAAATTAACAATTGCTCATTTGTTTAAACAATGAATCCCAATAATAGGAAAAATTTGAAGATCAAAATTTCAAAATTATATTCGTAGAAGTTTTGAGATACGAGACATTACAATGCATTATCAACTTCGTGCAGACTTAGATGACCATATTTGGATCCATATTGCTACCAAATTTTTTTTCGTTCTACTATTTTTAATTTGTAATCTTATTTTAAATTCTTTTATGTAATAATATTATGTGTATTTTCACACATTTAAAATTAAGTATTCTAACTAAAAATGCATTTTTTATTAAGAATATAATATAAAAACAATACTGGATGAGTGGGTAATGAGTCTTATATATTTGCATTTAAATGAATTAACCAATGTGGATGTGTGTTTAAATAGAGAGGTGTTTAGTGGAATAATAATGTGAGCATAGTGTGGAAGGAAAGAGTGTGTGATTAATGTTTAAATAACAAATATTAATGCGGATGCCCACGACTTGCCATGTGTACATTCCACGCAGGCAGCCTACAAATTTTATCACTCACAATGCTTTGGATTCAATCAAAAAAATTATGTCACCTAAATAATAGACCTAATCTAAAATATATATTCTCCAATATAAGTGTATGTAGATTGATGTAGCAACACAGAAAAGTGACTCGGTATACGCTGTAGTCTATTTTAGACTCAAAGAATTCAAGACATGAATTTATTTATATGTCACATAGACAAAACTGGACCGAAAACATTGCAAATGCTCTAACATTAGCCAACTAATCTCGGTTGCGTACCAAAAGTTTAAAAGCTCACGATTTTACGATTTTCCTTTTTTAATGGACATATTAACGTATCAATTTATGGTAGGTTTATTTGTTGTATATAGAAGGTTGGCTCCACTATGGAGCCAACGGTTGGTTTCATAGCAAAACTATTTTGCTCCACTTCTTTACTTGCTCCACTTCTAAATTAGTAAAGAAGCATCTGTACATCAGTAAAAGAAAAAGAAAGTGCACTGGAAATGTATAGTTCTTCAAAACACTATTTTTTTCCATTTTATGTGTGAAAGAATGCTTAAAAAATGATGAGAGTGCAAGTGAACATCACATTTGCTGCTTCAGAAAATATCACATCCATAAACGTCTACCGGAACTTGGGATCAGCAGAGATCAACACAGCCAAATAGCTCTCAATCGAAACAAAAGCAACATAAGCCGATTGGGTAAAGTTCCAGAAACATTTTTAACGTGCACTCGGGCAGACATTCATTTCTTTGCAGAACATACTATTGAGATACTGTCTTATCTTTGTCTCATGTCATATGATGGAAGATAAGAGTGCACTTTGTTCATGATAACTTGTGCAATGTACTCGTAAAACGACTAATTAACACATGACCTGCTTAATGCACTTACTTCTTCACTGTATTAGCACTTGAACCCTCCAATGACGTGAACATGAAGTTTCCCGATAATATGGCTTCTTTATCTACACAAGTATGTAAACATAAAATCATAAGCTAGAAGTTGCTACTTTTAAGTAAATATTAGATCAAACACAGTACAGATTTCTTCTAATGCAGAAAAAAAAAAAAA